GCAGAACATCCTCGGCTTCTTCCTTGTCGTCTTCATCATCTGTATTGGCCAGGATCACCTTATACTCCTGTATTGCGAACTCCAAATAAGACCTCAGCCAGTCGTGACTAGACCGGAAAGGGCCCCGGGCTACATCGTATTTGATATGATCACCCATGAAGAACATATGCGAGACCATCTTCCCCGGCACGGGGGAAGTCTTCTCAGCAACAGAGTGGAGCGTCCCTATGCCACGGAAAGACGCACTGGGGAACCCATGGCGAAACAGCTGTGCCTGGAACTCCGCGACGCGCTGTGTGAGAAAGACTTTCTGCGCCATCGATAGAGTCCTCCATCGCCTCCATGCAGAAGAGCCTGGCATCAGCTCCATAAGTATCCACTCAAAACCAATCTCATTGTCGTTGCTAGCATCGAAGTCGACAACCTTTGGCACTGGAATATCGATATTCTCGCGCAGCCATCGTAAAGTGGTAACTTCCCCGCGGGTCTTGTACTGAGGATAGACAGGGAGTGATACCCGCATAAGCAGGGACTGGTCACATGCTTTGACTAGATATAGTTTGTTGAAGGCACCCGCGGCGTGAAAGGAGATAGTGCAGGTGTCGTCGCCCTTGAGGTGGAGAGTCTTCCGGCACACGGATTCGATGGCGTCGGTCGATGGCTCGCGTGTCCAGCATGGCACAAGATCGAAGCCGCTGTCATCCCATTTCAGCCCGTCTTGGTTAAACTCCGCCATAGCGATGAAAGAGGAAGACAGCTTGTAGAGTAGGAAAGTAAGAGTAAAGGTTTCCGAGATTTGACGAAATCTAGATGGAGAGGGTGACACCTCAAACTGGGAAGTCCAACCAGGCGTAACATGATGACTAAGCTGATGGTCAGTGGGACAGAAACGGGGGCTGTAGAGCGGCTGCAGGGTGAGAGCGGCTGCAGGGTGAGAGCGGCTACGGAGCGGGAACCGGACAGGGATGAGGCACGGTGTCTTCCAGTAAGATCACGTAACTCTCTACTGCTGTTTAGTGCTCTGCTTTCTTCACTTTTTTGTGACTCTGTGTTCTACTGACACTCAGGCTTTTACCAGGCTCTTGGGAGGGCCAATCTGCGCAGGCTATATGATAGGGCGTTTACTGTCTGTCCCGTTGGCATTGCCGTCAACCTCGGGCTGATCAACTTGACGACTTAAATCAGCAGGCTCCCGCTTACTTTACAAGCGACCCCATCCAAACTTTGCGTTGTACTAACGCCCAGTCCCAATAGAACTGCTGAAAGCACAGACCGAGTCCTCCCAATCCGGTAATTGCGTGCTGGTATCTACTGGATTACGTTACAAGGATGGCTGTTGTGAAGTTCCATTCGGCTATGGTTCAGCTCGGCGTTGAGCTCTCGATGGCTGCGGCACAGCAGAGTGCGCACAGCCGGGCGAACGACATTTTGAGCTCCCAGCGGCTATCACTTTTCAAGATGAGTCGGCGCATCCATATCAGTACAATGTTCAGGTCTCATTGGCTGGCACTGCTTACTGGTGCACGTCCCAATTACACGGTTACAGGAGCATGTAACCAATCCTGTGTAAGATGGGTTGAGTTGGTGTGAATAAGATAATTACTGTGCCTCATACGTGATCTTACCTGCGTCTACTGTACTGGCTAGCTGTCGAGCCCAGCCAGACTGAAATTCGCTGGATCTTCCGTCTATAAAAATGAAGATCATTACCTTTCCACCTTCTCTTGTTCCACCACTCTATCCTCGTATTCCGGGTAGTAACCGTCTTGTCCTTTTTAAAAGTACCATTCTGTCTCGTTTCTCGGCCTCATATACTTTCGTTGCTGCCCGGTGTTGCAACCACTTATAAAGCAAAATGGTCAGCCGCAAGAAGCTCCTCGAATATTTCATAGACGACATTCCAGACGGGAAGCTCACGCCTCCTCCCGACCATGGAACCGTGTTCACTGACGAGAACTTTCGGCTTGATGTGCAAGGCGTGAGGACCCAATACTTATACCATTCGTCACACGGCGTCGATACTAATCGGAAACCTAGATCACAAGCAACAACCATTGGAACCTCCAGGTTCAAGTGAATAACAGACCCAAGAAATCATCTCTCGCCGCGTACGCGCCCGACACGGTGGCTGGGCCAGCTTTGGTTCCCAGGGATAACCCATGGACCGCGGCGCAAATAAAGCAAAAGTTGAAGGAGACTTCTATACTGTAGGACTCGGATTCAGATCTTGCAGAATACTCGTCCCAGGAAGACTCGTATAAGGATATACAGTAGATCATTGGAACGAAAAATTAGATTTTATGTCTGCGTGTGGGAGAAGAGGTTGGATGGTGTCTAGATCGAGTGGGAGAATGCAGGAAATTTGTAAATCTTTGCCGCAGCACTCAAACGAGTTTGATACCTATATTATCCAATGCATTGAATATTTTGTTATGCAGCACACAGGGATCTGTTAGTCTCGAATGTCCTAGCCAGTACTGAGCGTCGAGGCATCCCTTGGAAGTCTGGGCCTGCCATGCAGCTCCTTGATACCGAGCCGCTCGAGTTGACAATATGTTCGAGAATGCCATCTCTCTGCAATCCTGACGTAGATGCCTTAGAAAGATCAAAAGCCAATGACTGTCAAATGATCTCAAGGATTCATGACCGGTTCCATGTGTGACCTCGGGAGGGCATCCCACCGTTCAACGTTGCCTCAAGGGAAGAAAAAGAGGCCCTCAGAACCCCATTCAGCCACTGGTATGGCGCTGTCACGGATGTGACAATCTACATAGGTACATAGCAATACGAGAAAAAGCCTCTCGTTGGAAATTCAAGATATACAACGGCTGTAGAACCTACACCCAGTGTCCTCCAGATCAGAAGATGATAATACTCATACTTTAAGTTGCTGAATCATTAGCACCTTCAGCAGCAACAAGGCATCTCCTTCTCTCGTTCATGTTTCCTATATTATTTTTAGACAAATGGAAACACCCTGAGGGCGGGCTTCCGTCTCGACCGATCTAGCTTCCAGGGTTGTTTAACTGCCTGTGTACCTAGGTAGGAAGCTGGCAAGCCTTCATATGATTATTCGAATGTGTATTCTCATAGTCCGCACTTCCATGGAACTGTTCATAGGCTACTATAAAAAGTAATCCATGAAGAGTAATCAGGTGTTACCAAGTATTACTACTTTTCTTCTGTCCAACGGTACTTCCACTGTTTTCCTAGGGTTTATTTCCATTCCATGGTTGGGCAATTAGCCAGAGATTGCGGCTTCGTGCAGCTCTCTCAATACCCGAGTGACAACATATATACAAATATTCCTTAATCTTAGGTAAATCAGTTCCGTACTTATGCAGGTGCCTTCCACAGTGCCTGATATAAGTGTGGCTCTCGGACAAAGAAATTGATGTTTAGTGTCTGCCGGAAACGGTTGCCAAGGATGGAACAACCTGGCCAGCAAGGCACAGAACAATGGCAAACACCACGGTCGATGAATGTTATCGTCCCGAAATCAATCTAGGCTGAAATCGTTTGGAAACAACGCATGTGTTCCACGTATAAGTGGTTTGTGTTTGGAGTAACACCGAGTGACAATCCAGTATTAAGACGCTCCTACCTCATTGTCGAACTCACCTGTACCTCCCCTCTCGTCTTGTATGCTCTTTGCAAAAAACATTAGGGACCGAAAGTAAAGCCAAACCTGCTGTAACCGAAGCAACCCAACAGCGACAACCACAAGGATGGCAGACAACGATGAACCACTCATGTCCGGGGCCTTGGGTAGTCCCAAGGTCAACAGCGCCACCACTTCCGCTGCACGCAGATTCCAATCCTCTGCCCCAGCCTACCTGGACGACCAAGACCATAACCGATTCAAGCGCCTAGCCGCCCAGGGAACGCAACTGCCTTTTGACAGATCGGGCCTCCACAGCGCCCGCATCAACCCTACCGCCGCCGCCGAGATACATGACAGCAACGAGCCTGACGACGACATCATAATGGACGACTACGACGCTGAATTCCCAGGGCTACCCACAGACGTGCACCCCACCCAGTTTGAACCCGGTGTGCCAGCCGACCACGCCGCCGCCGCCGAAGCCCTCCGGCGCTCCAAGACGATCTACAACCCCCAGAACCCCAGCCAGGACGACCAGGCCGACGCAGACGCAGACGGCGTGGCACTAGGCGTGATCCCAGACCGCGAGGGCCGGCGCTGGCGCGAGCGGCGCATGAGGCTGGCGCGGTACATCCAGTTCGTGGACGGGCCGGCCATCGACGGCGACGACGTGCCCGCGCCGCTGGCGGCTTATCTCGACCTGGAGTTTGAGCGGGATGGGGCGGTGGTGCTGGCGCCTGTTGTTAAGGGTGGGCGGGGGAAGGAGGGTCTGGGAGGGTTCGTGGGGGCGCGGCCTGGGCCCCGGGGGGTGGAGCTCCGGAAGAGGAGGGAGGTGGTTGGTGATGATGGGGTTGACGAGGTTGGTGCTGTTGATTATTATGGCGGTGGTCGTGACGTTGCTGATCTTTTCTATTATGAGTTGGGGGCGGCCAATGCTGCTATGAGGCCTGGTAAGTTTTGCATTTCCTGTTTTCTTCATCTCTTCTCGTCTGGTACTGCTTGACCTCATTCCTCGCTCTTGGAGTTGCGGCCAACTGAAGGACACTCGCTGATCGTGACCATGACCTGAACTTCCAGCTTACCCGTTCAACCCACCCCAAGTCCGTTAGACCTCCATTACGGTCCCACCTAGCCGATGACATCCTCGTCGTGGACAGTAAGCCTGCCATTCACCCACCAAACCCAGGCCGGCCAGCACACCCGCTGTCGTACAAGTCGGCCGCGATACAAACGACCTCTTTGTCAGTCCACACCTCTGTATGATCGAGGAGCAACTGCCCAGGTTGAACGAACTCCGGCATTCAGGCCAGGGCAGGATATGGTCACGACTGCGCTGCCGCACCATGCTCGTGGATTTGCCTCTATTAGTGCCAGCTGTGGTACAGTCAGGGTGCTAGCCCGTTTAGCTCATCGGTAGAGCGCCTCACTAGTAATTGGTAACAACCTCAAGTTGCAATGAGGAGGCAGTTGGTTCGATTCCAGCAATGGGCATTTACTTTTGTAATTTTTTTCCTTTCAGATTCTTGGCTGAGGGTCTTATGAGAGTTTTTGGGAGTGTCGTATGGGCTCTGGACTTGATAGGTAGGCGGCTTATACCTATGGGGGAAGCGGTTCACAGGATAGGGGGTGTGGTACCAAACCAATGTATGTGTTGTGCTGCTGTATCTTTGTCCGGCTTGAGATAGCCCGGGGACAGATCTTCGCTTCTTGCTCTTGCTGTGAGACAGTGCAATTATCGTCGATATCTGTGTCCAAACTACGTTCGCGATTGTCGAGTTTGTATGGTAGTCTAGACGTGAGCTTGATGTTGATGGGATTCACTTCGGTTTGCCCTCTCAACTAAACGTTGTTCGTCTGTCGGGATCACAGACTATCATCTACTGAACCGCGACGTTCGGTGACGTCCTCGTGCGGATGATGGCGTTTGAGCAGCATGTGAGGTCGTACAGCCCTCTACGTCCACTAGGTTTCGATGCGACATCACCGTCACAGCCTGATATCGCAAGTCATATGAGCGCGCCGTCGAGGTAGGATGCGTTGCCAATGCCCGCTCCTTTCGATCGCCAGGCCAAATATTGCAAAGCGTACTCCTTGATGGAGGTGCAATGGACAGCATCACTGTGCCATGTGACCACTGTTGTATGGTTGAAGTGCCCATTAATCTCCTTATGGTCCATGGCGATCCTGGGTTCTTCGAACTGCCGGCTGTTCATGCCAGGACATTCTCGTGGGACATGCCTCCAGTCCACCGGGTAGAAGTCAGTGAGAACATTAGCAAGAGGAAACACACAAGTCAGTAGAGCGTAGACTGCTGCATGTGTGGACTGCGTTATGCCTGATGCCCAAACAGGGACTCGAAGAAAGTGTTAGATTTCAAGATGCAACAGAAATGCCAACTCTATCTTCGAAACAACTTGGGAGACTGGTACCCCTTTTCATTCGCTGAGATTGTCTGTCCCGACCAGATAACCCTCTGGAAACGCCACGGGCGCTCGTCTTCCTCATGAATGAGGCGTTCCGAGGCCCTGATACTATGTAAAACCAGCAAACAACCCCTCCCAAACAGTACCCGCAGGTATGGTATCCGGAGAGGTGAAGAACCTTCTCTGATTAATAGCATTCCACCATGAATCTCAACACGCTTGACGTAATGCCGCTGTTGCATGCCTCCTCTGACCGAAGACTGTGGAAACGGTATAACCGGGCATCCAAGCAGTACAAAGAAGCACGACCAGCGCTGTCCGCCTCCGGACCAAAGCTGGAGCGGGAATTCCACAGGAGAATATGCGAGTCTCTGGGATTTCCGCGCTCTCCTGCGGGGCGAGGAACAGCCTAGGGGCTTGGTGGGGTCTCATCTCCGCTGAAGCTTTGTGCGCTGGACCAATGTCATCCACGCATAACCGCCATCTAGTTCCTCTTCTTCATAACGCCGGATTAAAGAAAAACACAGATCGCTTTAAAGTGAGAATAATCGCTGGTCCGCCAGCGGATGCTACTCTTGATAGAGCCCATGCTGATTGATGTACTCGATGACTGGCTCGGGCACGATATAACGTAGAGACAGATGCCTCTTGCGCATCAGTCGAACCTTCGTGCTAGAGACGTCGTTCTGTTGCCAGGTCAGCACGCAGTTAAGTAGGCAGAAGCTGCCAGGTAGGCAGGTGTAGAACCAACTTACTGTTATAACCTGAGGAATGACATGGATGTTATCCTTGTAGTCCTTCAAGCCCGCCAGCGCCTCATCAATGTCGGTACCCGTCCTCTCGATGATGAAAGCACCAAAGTTCTTGAGTATATGGTCCAGATCCTGGGACGACCACACGCCGGGGGTGCTCATTGTCTGAATGAGGTCCGCCCCGGCCAGAAGGGCGATGCGCACCTGCTGCTTGTTCCCGTGGACATCCTCGACGCCGCCAATGACGTTATTTATCTCGTTATGGAAGTGATCGAGCACCTGTGCGGTAGGAACGTAGTTGGGCTGTATGGCCTCCCAGGGATCGCATGTAAGCCACTCAGAGGTCTTGCCGGCGGCGAAACCGCACATCTGAATACGGTGCTTTGCAGGTGCCAGACCAGGTTTCTTGTAGGCATCGGAGACGGGGGAGAGGAAACCGCCGACGATCTCGTACTTTGTGTTGAAGCGCGCGTAGTCGGACGCCATCTCGAACATACGCAGGTGAAGGTAGGTGACAGGGCTTCAAGTGCGAAAAACATTATGTCAGCAAGAAGCAAACTGATGATGACGGATTGTCTCACGAAGTGAGATAACAGGGGATATACGGACCTGAAGGAACCACATGCTACCAGAACAAGGGGTGTCTTGCCCTCGTGCTGTTGGCGTCGCAACAGTCGTTCTGATGGGAAACGATAGGTCTCTGGCGACAACTGGGACTCTGTGATGATGTTCGATATGGAAGGCACTGCCTCTTGGTCTATTTGGGCTTCTTGAGCCTCTGAGGAAGTGTCTGAGTCCATCTCGACTGGAGGAAGAGGAGGATCGGCAATCGGCTGGTGTTGGTCTGTTGGCGGTGCCTGTTGGGCTGACCCCGACATGGTGTGTTGTGTGAGGCGATTGATAGAAGTTTGGAGGACGGCGGTCAATCGGGAGGCGATGCGTCCTAGCGGTATATTCCAAGGTTTTGTCGGGGTGAAAGCGTGGTGAAGCGTGGAGCGTGGTGTAGTGTAGTGTAGATTTGTAGATTTTGTGTATGAGTCGACGAAGTCGTTCCCGGGAGATCGGTCGGTCGCGACGGGCACTTTTGCGTGAGGGGTCGACTCGAGTATGAGGGATCGGGGATCGGGGATCAATGCAGGCACCAGAGGCGCGGGGCTACCGGTTCTTAGTGGGTGCCACTCCAGGGCTGGGTTTGGTGCACAGCCAACAACTGGTGCAGTCAAGCAATCCGCAGCCTGCAGTCAGCAGCGGTCGATCAATCAACCGCTGCGCGGGTGTGCGGGTTAGGTTAGGCGGGGTGGGGCCCCCAAAGATGCCGCGATCGTCGGTTGAAATTGACAATGTGACCGAACACTGCCGTGCCAGGCGTGCGTGATGAGATGAAGCTGATGAATCAGATGCAGAATTGCAGTCGAAAGAGATAGAGAGAGTGGAGGAACGGTCTAGATCGATTGAATTGAATGCCGAGTAATCCGTAGTGACGAGGTTTCCAAGGTTGCAATTGGAGTTACAGTTGCAGGAATCAATGGTGAGGAGGATCCGGTTATGATGCGGCCGAATGATTGCTGATGTACGAAAGTTTGCGTCGTCACCACCTGCTGCGGGTTTCGTTGCAGTGCAGACTGCCAATCTGCCAGTGCTAAAGTTTGCTTTGCTTTGCTTTCCTTTCTTGCCTTGCTTGTTACTGCAAAGAAAGTTCCACCCCCACGATCTGGGGTATGATTTGAAAGATTTGGTAGAAGAGCGACCGATGATGAGATTCGGTTGAATGTGACCGAACGCGACCGAATGCGACCGGTTTTACAGTGATGGTTGATAATTGATTAACGATTGAAAATGCCGATTGATGTCCGACGAGTGGTGCGCAAGAATCAGGATGCTAACCAGGTACCGTCAAAATTATCGGTTATATTTTTCAGATTTGGTTGAGTGATTAACAGTCTTGAAACAGATTGAGATGATAATTCTTGGCTGATAGAATCGCCTGATACTGTCGATAATGCGGAAAGATGGCTACAAGTCGGATGGTCTTTTAATATGATTTACTCCGTTGTCGGTGCACAAGAAAGAAAGGTATATTGTACCAAGTTTTGCCCATTCACTACCATTCATCGCCCCTGCCAGTCAGCCAGTGCGTGCTTATTACTACTCCATCCTGTCAAACTGTCCAGGGGCAAAATAACTTGGTAAGGCTGGAACTGTATTGAACTTTATTAATTAGCCCCGGAACTAGACTAGGCTCTCTGCCAATGCCCACTATATCTGACCTGCTACGTACCGTACTGCAGGGCCTCCCGTGCTGCTATCACTACCTAGTTCGGTACTATACCACGGTGGTGTACTATACTACAGACGGAATGGTGACTCGCGGGATTTCGCCGACTCTTGTCACCGCTTCCCGGGGTGCCGGGGAACCCTTCGATTGACGTTTCTTCAGGTCATACGGGGGCCATTGTGGGGAAAGCATTTATAGTATACTCTCGCCACTTCGATGACCAACCCTAAAGCCACGGCAGCAGGAGGTCTTGGTAGGGTTATCTATCGTACGTACCTAGGTAGATATTTTGTAACTACTCAGTACGTAACCCTGGCAAACCTCTCTTTCATCTGTCTCACTTTCTTGTTTCACCTTCCACACCTTGACTCTTTCCTTGTGGATGCCACACTAGGCAGAGTCAACTTCCAAGTTTGTTACCATACACACATATGTACATGATCATAACTTTCTCGTTTCTATTTCGGTCGTTTCACACATCATACATCATGAAGGTAGGCAGCCGCCTTTGACCACATCAGTCCTTTTGTTGTCTTCCATCGCCCTTCTCATCCGAAGACTCGACGCTACCTTCCTCGATTGAAGCAGCCGCCAGTCCTGCCGCCTTTATATCCCCCCTGTGAACCAGGAACCATGTGAGACCTATAGAGGCCACTGTCACCGACAGCAGGCCGACACACGTACTGAAGCTAACTTTGTATGACGGCCCAAATCTGGACTGGTAGACCTGTGGCCCAATGATGCCTGACAACTGCGTCACGCCCTGGTACAACATGTTAGCAAGGCTGTCCTACCCTCGTTGCTGAATCAACAGTTAGGGGCTTCTTTATCTTACATTCGTCAACCCAATAGCCAGCCCGGCGTTGGTCGTCCCGCTTGTGGCCCGTATGCGCTCCGGCCAGAGGATCGGGAAGAAGCTCGAGGTCGCGGCCGTGGCAATGACGACGAGGACGTATTTGGCCACGTTGTTGTGGACGGTGATGAGGAGGATGTAGCAGACGATCTGGCCGATCTCTAAGCCCATGCCGGCGATCCAGGGGC